TTTAGCCCCTCATGAGTATCATGCTAAGATATGTACTAATTTAAAATATTTTGGAGTGACCAATTATCTAAACCAGCGCCTCCTTGCATTTCTAAGTGTGCATAAGTACCTCTTTTGTTTGTTATGAGATATATTTGGTAGCAGCTATCAAATATACACGTGGCAACCAAAGAGTAAGCTAAGAAGGAGAAAAAACAAAGCAATTACATAAACTTTTAAATTCGTCATGTTTGTTTTGCATATAGTGATATAGATTTATGCCTTTGAGTCGGCTTGTAATAGGTTGACTAATTGTATATCTTGGGTTTTTTGTCTATTCTCAATGGTTATACGTCTAGTATTATTCATAAACTTTTGAAGCTTATATTCATCCAACTGTATTTGGTGGAGGCAACTTAAATGATTAAAATAAAACAGGGGCAAAATGTGACTTGCAAAAAAAAAAAAAAAAAAAAAAAAAAGAACTAGGGCACAGTTATATGTAATATATTACATATATATTACTTTGTTCCTACAACTACTTAAATGTGTTGCTAATAAATAAATTAACTTACAAGTAATGTTTCAACAACAATAATAACAACCCAGTATAATCCTACTAGTGGGGTCTGGGGAGAGTAGTGTGTACGCAGACCTTACCCCTACCATGAGGTAAAGAGACTGTTTTCGATAGACCTTCGGCTCCCTTCCTCTAAGAACTCCCCACATTGCTCTTGGGGTGACTCGAACTCACAACCTCTTGGTTGAAAATAGACGGTGATCACCACAGTTACAACTAATGTTTCAAGAAGAGAGCAAATTGAGCGCGTGGATGAAAAATGCAAGTAGGAACCACTTCCGGGATTAATAGAAGTTGCTCTTTTTTCAAGGACATAACAGTCCGTACATGCATAATTTTAGGAAGCATCTAATGTAACACTTGTGTAATAACCACTGAAAATGGACAATGCATATGAGATTACCAAAATACTCTTAAGAGCAGGACACGGGCCTAACAATTAGAGTATTTTATTGAAGAATTTTCAGAAATCAATGTTGTTTAATGACTATTAATTTCGTGTAGCTATACATAATTACTTTCTATAACTATTATTAAGTTGTTACGTTAGTATATTCGCGTTGTTGTATTCATGAATACAACAACAAAAATTGTCTAAAATCAGGGCTGTTCAGTTGTACGTGCATTTATTCACATGTATTCGCATCATATATTCATGAATACAACAGCAAAAAGCGCCTAAAATTAGGGCAATCCAGCTGTACGCGCATGTATTCACATGTATTCGCGCTGCTGTATTCTTGAATACAACAGTAAAAAGCGCCTAAAATCAGGGGCAGTCCAACTGTACGCGCATGTATTCACATATATTCGCGCCATGTATTCATGAATACAACAGCATAAAGCGCCTAAAATCAGTGCAGTTCAGCTATACGTGCATGTATTCACATATATTTGCGCTGTTGTATTCATGAATACAGTTGTACGCGCATGTATTCACATGTATTCGCGCCATGTATTCATGAATACAACAGCATAAAGCGCCTAAAATCAGTGCAGTTCAGCTATACGTGCATGTATTCACATATATTTGCGCTGTTGTATTCATGAATACAGTTGTACGCGCATGTATTCACATGTATTCGCGCCATGTATTCATGAATACAATACGACAATCCCTTAAAAATAGGTATGTCCAGCTGTCTAAGAGAGAGAAAAAACATACATAGCTTATTTCATGCATCAATGGTAGTATATATCATAAAATACTTATTTTGCTATAAATATAAAAGGTAGCTATAAAAAATAATATTTCAAAAAAAATTTAGTTTATAATAAATAGGGTGTATACCTTTGCTATAAGAGGTAAAATTTCCTATTTTATTTGATATGTGCCGTTTATGATTGCATTTTAATCAATTGTTATTTCTAATAGCATTAAATATATTATATTTCATGTTATAATTTTAAATTTGGATATTTGAGTGATTGTAAATTTTATCACTTCAAGAAACTTTAAATAGCCCAGTTAATTTCTATTTTTGGTGGACATAGGTACAATTTATCATAATGCCATGTCAGTTCACATTTTTGAATGCATATTATAGTGGTATTTTCCTAGTTTACCTAGAATACTTTGGTAAATTTGATTTATTTCAGAATGTTAAGAGATTTTCTGACTCGGTACACATTATTTATTCATTTCACTCTAAAACTTAAGAATTCAAAATGTTAAGTCAGCAAGGATATCTAAATTTTGAGCAATAAATGTAATGTCAATTTGTTAGCTTTTATCAAGGAATCTTACAAGTTGCAATTTATAATAAATTATTTTAATGATCTTATATAAGCACTAAATAAGATTTTCAAGGCGATATGTTTTTAAAATATTGGTTGATATATTGGAATAAATGTTTAAACTTTTTTTGAATATGTTCGAATTTGAAAGTTGGTATTTTTTCTCCTCTAAAAAAGCTGCAATATTTTTTTAAGTGAAGGATATGTCCATACATGATTTTAATTTTAAAATATTTTTTTAACTTAACTTCAAAAATTACTTTCTTTTCAAAGCTCACATTTTTATGTTCAAATGCTCAAACCTCAATAAAATAAAATAAAGTTAGTCGGCGTTTGGGCATAAGAATTGTGAAATTTTGAAAAAAAAAAGTAAAATTCTTTTTCAAGTGAAAATGATATTTGAAAATTAGAATTGTTTTTGGAGATGAATACAATTTGGAGTTGTTTTTAAATTTTTATAAGTGATTTGAAGCGAAAATTTTGAAAACTGTGAAGTTTTTAAAATTTGTTCAATTTCAAGTAAATTTCTGAAATTTTCATGTCCAAACACTACATTGCTATAGTCGTATTATTCGTATTTTGAATTTATTAGTACTGCTACTTGATCCCCTTGTTTCATTTTGCGTGATCTCTTGAAACTTGTTAAGTAATAAACTTAAAGAAAAAAATATGTGCTTTTTAAAACTCTGTGACGAAGAGATATATTTAAAAACATAAGTTTAAATAATATGATTGTTGTAAAGGAGTAACTACGGTTCACAGCTTTTGTCTAAACCAAACAGTGCTATCAATTATTTGGTTTTGATTTTCAAAGAAAATCTCCATAATTATCTGAAGCTAATATAGTCTCATAAAATAAGTAAGCTGATTTTATATTTGTTTTATATTACTACTATTATAGAAGCGGCTAAGAGGGGAGCTTAGGGTCGTCCAGTGAATTGACAAAACTATCCTTTGAGTTTCTATTTCGTTGACATGCCACCTTCACCAATAATATTGTTGCCCCTATTATTGCATCTTATTACGTCAATTGCCATCACACAATTTGGTAAATAAAGAAAATATTTGAGGCATTCTCATACCCAAATTGCCAAGCCATGTCTGTTTTAATGGAACACCTATTGGCCCCTGCATTTGTATATTATTATATCAATTGCCATCACATATTGATGTAAATAGGCGAAACATTGAGGCATTTTCAAGGCCTAAAATGTAGGCTGCCACGTGGAACGACTTTTGCTTCTTTGTTTTAAACTTCTACGTTGATTATGGTTTGGCCCACTAAATTCTTATTGCTTTACTTATTAGACTCCTCTACTACTGAAGTGATGATATCATTGTATGAACGTGGTACAATACTCTATTTTTCGTCTCTTACAAGTTTTATTTTATGTAACTTTTGAATATTTATGTACTTTGATAATATCATTTATTTGTTACTATATATTTTTTATCAATCAAATTTTATTTGGGGTTGAGAGGAGCTTTGTATTTAATTACATCGCAAGATGTATTATAAGATAGTTCAAAATATAAAAAATGAAAATCCAACAATTTATATTCCTAAATGTAAAGTAAAAGTTCTATATTTTTCTAAATATATAATGTTTAAAAGTTTGTAATCAATTTTTTATTTTAATATTTTTAGAAGTGTGTAAACAGCTTTTCTCTTAATTTCTTATTTGATTTTAAAATAAGAACAAGGAGAATATTAACTATTATAACCAAGCCACAAATTATTTACATAAGGCTAATTCTTAAATGATATTGCACCATCTCAAATCAAAACGTTAAGTTACTTTTATCAATCATTACTCAAGCCATTCCCATTTTGAAAAAAAACACTAGCTCCAATTTAGTTTAAATATTAATGGTAAATTAATTATATTTTTATATCTTATGTGAATCTTGCATTCCTTTTGACAAGAGAAATTGAGGTTAAATTAGAACTCATGGTATTACTGTCCAACGGTTAATATCTTTATCATTTGCATTTTATGATTATTTTTCCTTATGTTAAAAAAAGAAATATCATTTTATTTAATATTATTAACTAATCAAATGTCAACCAAGAAAAATTCAAGCTCCTTGGTTATTCATAAGGATGAAATAAAATGGGATAGTTTTTTGTTAATTTATTAACGAGCTAATAATAATTGATACATAAAAAATTGATCAATGTACAACCTATTTTGGAACCTTACATATCTTACTTTATGTATATTAAATTGGATATTAGGCATTTTTAAAATTCAGAAACTATTTGAAGTTATTGGTGAATACAACCGAATAATGATTATTGAGTTTCTTTAATTATGGATACCATCTACACTTTTGTTCGTGAAGTTCAGTGCTTGTATGCACTTGGAACAATTTCTATTACTAATCCATGCAATATATATTATTTATTCTTCGGCCAATATACATATTTTAATCAGTTAAATACTTAAAAATTTTATAAATTTTCCCTTAAATATTTGAAAATATTATTTAAAAATGTTGGAACACCTCTAAATAATTTTAGATTTTTAATATTGGGCTCGTTAGACCTGAAATTCCCAAGATACTCCTAAAACCCCAAGCTCTCAACTCTCCTTTATTAATAGTATAGTATAGGAAAGTATAGGAATATAATAATATAAATAGATAATAGAAAATTTACCAAGCCGAATTATAAGTCTGTATTTACCAATTGCGATTTATTTATTAACATTTCCAACTCCATAAGTTTACATTTCCGACTCTATTAAGTTAACATTTCCTGCTCTATAGGGAACTACAAGTCAATGGAGTTTTGTCACAGAGTTCAGTTATTGATTCCTTTGGTTTATGTGATTGCTCTTTTTTCCACCATTTTCGCTGTTGTTTCTGCATCCAACGAGGTATGTCAATGTTTCTGTATTTGATTTGACCCTTTTTTTCTTGTTATCTAATCCTAAGCTAATAAGATTAACTTGTGTATTTGAATTGATTGCTCGTCTTTCTTATGTTTTGAACTTAACCAACAGATGATTAAATTCTCCCTTTCTGAAAGGAATTCCAAAATTTGAAAATAAGAGGCAGAGTTGCAAGTTTGTAATTTTACAATAACGGCAATAATATACATCAGAATTTTGAGCTAATGAAGTGGTCCGATTTTTTGAATTTCTACTTTAAGGAGTTGGAATGTTGGATTAGGTTATAAGAATTGAAATTTGACTATTTTATAGTACTAAATTCTTATAGGTATGATATTTTTAATTATCTATAAATTATGTGTCTGTCCTTTAGTTCTTGCTTTTCGCTTCAAGCTCCACAAACCTTGTTGTTTTTTTTCTCTTTTAATAACACTATATTTTGGAAAGGTAAGAATACTTCTTAAATTAGGCAGAAAGAGGCAGTCTGGTGTGGATTGTTAGTTGTTTCTTTGTCTTTTTGTATTCAATAAACTGAGGATTAGTTAGAAAAGGTGGGATCTTTGTGGTGGAATTCTTGTTTTGTGTAGCTATGCGAATAAAATAGTGGATGCCGAAAACGTTGGCATGAAGGAAATGAGACAGGAGCTTTTCCCTTTGATAAAACTTAACAGAAAGTTTCAAAATTTGAATGCATTGAAAATGAAAAGTAGTTGAATCTTCTGGTGTATTTCTAAGACGTTGATTTATTTCATTTTTCCTTCTGCTTTTGTACTCAATGAACGAGAAAGTTCAGATTGTGCGGAGGACCTCTCATTTGAATCATGGTGGATGATTAGACATATGAACTGTCATTTTTTTTTGATAAGGAGACATATGAACTGTCATATGGACATGATTTTGTGGAGTAAAGAAAACAAATAGAATCGTCGTATCAATGCCAAGCAGTTTCTTTTCTAGGAGGGTCTAATCGATTTTTTATGTTTTGTAGTTTTGTGATTCCACATTTGTTTATGGAGATTCTGGGTGCAATGCTCCACCGTCAGTTTCATCAAAGATGCTGATAAAAGGAGGAACAGTAGTGAACGCTCATCACAAGGAGGTCGCTGATGTGTATATAGAAGATGGAATAATCGTGGCAGTGCAGCCTAACATTAAGGTAACTGCTAAAGTTTCTCTTTTTAGTTTGAGTTTGTTAATTGACTGGGAAGTGAATAATAGATCTTCTGTAGGAAAGCTAGTAGGGCTTCTTGTCTATTGTGATTGATCTCTCTGTCCGGATAGCTGAATTTGATGCCAATTTTTGTTTTGTTTCATTTGTAGCTATGTTTAGTTCTTATAATGTGGGAATAACGAAAGGGTCTAACACATAATTTGTTATTCTTCTAACAATCTGAACAACAGAGCCTCTCTACCTCCACAGGGTAGCGCTAAGGTCTGCGTACACATTATCCTCCCCAGACCCTATTGTGGGATTATACTGGGTATTATGTTGTTGTTGTTGTTGTTGTAATCTGAACAACAGAAAAACGTTTTTCATATGTTTCAAGTTTGATTAATACATTCCTGAAATAAATAGCCCCGTGTACCTGAAACTTCTGCAATTTAATTCGAGATATAAATAAACCTTGTCCCTGGTATACCAAGATCGAAAGAATAGCAACTCTTGCGAGTTATTTAAGGAGAACATGTTACTGCTCAGTGCAGTATGATACTATCTTCTTTTTGTTTTCCTTTCTAGTTTCTGATGAAGACAAATCCAAATAAATTCACATGCTTTACGATAATATGAGATTATCATGTCCAAATTGTGAGCAGAATGTTCAGGTCTGGAAAAATATTGGGAAACCCTGGGTTGTGCCCTAGTAAATCAATGTGATGCTTAACTTAGCAAGGAAGTAAAGTATGTTTTTAAGTAGTCTATAGATGGATAAGACGAGATTCTAGAGGATAGCTAAAAAATCACCTGAACGCAATATGGTGGATATATGGATGTAGGATCCTATGGAAGGCGTTTACCGAGAAGAAATAGCTTTTTTAACTTAATACCATATTGCTAGACGCCGCACCATTATTGCTGGAGATAAATTATCTCCATTCTTTATAGGGATAACTAAAACTTCTTGCCTTTAAATTCTCATAGGATGATGCTGAAGTTTGCTGAGGTGGGAGAGTTGACTTAGTCTTGCTAGTCTTTAACTTTGTGTTTTAGGTTCGTATGTGTCCTTACTTGTTGATCAGCAAAATGATTCGCATTTAATTCATTTACTACTTAAGTATACCTACTAATATGCAAAAGCTGCCCACTCAAGCTGGCTATGTATTCCTGAAACTCTTTGTATGTTCTCAGTGATTGATAATTTTTATCTTTGGTGAGTGTTTTCATTGCTGTTTGTCTGAATATGATGCACATCTCAGTTTACAAGATCATCTGCAGGTTGGTGATGATATCAGAGTCATTGATGCAACTGGAAAGTTTATCATGCCAGGTAGAGTTTCTTTCTTCAGGCCATGGTGTTCAGTTGATTGCATCTTCTAGTATCAGGATCATACTTTTGCTTTTTCTCTGCCAGAAAGACCTATAATGCATGTCTACTGTAGACAAATACTTTTTATTGTCATATATGCAGCTCTTACATCAGTTCTACTTATTGTAATTTTATGTGAATAAGGAGAGAGTTTTCCTGTTGCGAGATTCCCTTGCTTAATACAAAATATTCAACTTTGAGTACATGAGAGCATTTTCTCGAAGTTATAGTTCCTAATAAACAAGTCTTTCTAGTAAACCTTGCTAGCATACAATTACTTCATTTGCTGATTCTCATGATGATGACAGGAGGAATTGATCCTCACACACACCTCGCTATGGAATTTATGGGTTCTGAGACAATTGATGACTTCTTCAGTGGACAGGCGGCTGCATTAGCTGGTGGAACAACAATGCATATTGACTTTGTTATTCCGGTAAATGGAAGCTTATCTGCAGGTTATGAAGCTTACGTAGAGAAAGCAAAGAGGTCATGCATGGATTATGGTTTTCACATGGCAATTACAAAATGGGATGAAACTGTTTCAGAGGATATGGAAATTATGGTCAAGGAGAAAGGTTCTTCTTATTTCTAGAGAGTGTGTAATTTGCATGAATACTTTTTTAGTTTTCGGTTCATACTTGCAGGGCATGCCATTGGGAAGCATCTTTCTACTGCACTTTTTGTTGTCTCTTTGTGACTTTGCGTCACTCTTCTTGACTATCTTTCTCTTACCCTAGGTATCAACTCTTTCAAGTTTTTCCTTGCTTACAAAGGATCTTTTATGGTTAATGATGAGCTTCTTATGGAGGGATTGAAGAGATGCAAGTCCCTTGGTGCCTTAGCTATGGTTCATGCAGAAAATGGGGATGCTGTATTTGAAGGTCAAAAAAGAATGATTGAACTTGGTATTACTGGTCCAGAGGGACATGCATTATCAAGGCCTCCAGTGGTAAAGTCGACCAATTTTGCTTCATGCCTAGGGATAAAGCTGCTTTAGTTTTTTCTTTGTCTCCTAGCTTGTCAACATGCATGCATGCACTTTTGCTCCATTGCCACCAAGTAAATGGCACTTTAAGTTCAAGAAAGAACCAATTATTTGGTAGACATTTGTGCTGTAGAATTTTTATTCTGTCGCATTGTAATAACTAGTAAAACAAGAGCAGAGAATTATGTCTAGTACATCGCAGCATTGGAAATATTTTTCACTTTCTAGCAAGGAATGTATATTACAAGGCATAACATTTTGAGACAAGATATTAAGGCATGGTGACCAACCTTGCAAGATATAGATTCTATCTGCGACAGCTTGACAGAGATAGTGAAGTGAAGTATTTTCACTTTAAGCTTTTATGTGGTTAAGGTTCCTCTGGAATTCTCCCTTTCTCTTTCTTAAATATTTGTGCTGTTTCTCTTTTGGTAGAAAATGTTTTAACAGTTCGCCAACTGTGTCTCAAAAGAAAAAAGTATTCATCATTGTAATAGCTTGTGTTGGTCAATCTCACCAAATAATATCTTTGAATCTTAATTCTGTTTTACTGTATAATGTGAAAGTGCGGCATTACTATTCTGCCGATTATCTTTCGTGAAATTAATTAATTAAGAGCAGGATGAGAATTGTGCTGCATAGAAACAAATGTGAGTGTATTGTTCGACATGACAGAACTTGCTTTCTAGATAAATTATAAGTGATTGAGATGAAGAAATGTAAGTACTTGTTTTATTCCTATTAGCGGGTTAAACTGAATATATGGGCTAATTCAATGAACGATATTTGTGTAGAAATATAATTGGATTATATATGAATACGTAATAAACATGTTTGGGTCTTCTGCATATGTTGACGGCATAGGATAGACGTGACCATTAGTCAGATAATGGGAAAAGTTTTTGGACACAACAAAGCTTGGTAACTATAGTTGTAAGTCATGGATAATCATGGTTTCAAGTTTGTTGTTATTTGTCGTATTTCTGTTCTTTCCAGACCCCACTTGTGGGATTACACTGGGTTTGTTGTTGTTCTAGCCAACAATGTCCTCACTCTGACTATGAATGTTTGTGCTTTCATTTGACAAGGCTATTTCATTCTTTGTATAACTTTTCCTAATGGCGTTCCTTGCAATGTCATCAATAATTGCAGCTGGAGGGAGAGGCTACTGCTCGAGCTATTCGCTTGGCTGGCTTTGTGAACACTCCACTGTATGTTGTTCATGTCATGAGCATTGACGCGATGGAAGAAATTGCCAGAGCTCGGAAGTCAGGTTTGGCATAAACTGTTTGAATATTGTTTTTTATGTCAATTTGAATGAGTGGCTTCATAGTGCCTACTTTATGGCGAATGTGCCTTGATTCCTTTTCCCGTCTAAGAAATACTAGTATGTAGTAATATTCAAGTTCTTGGTTTCAGCCTCATCAAATCATTCATGCAAACCCAGACTGGAGTTAAATTTTTGTTCAGTCTTTCCTAATTGACCATGGAGCTCTTCTGTTTGGTCCTTTTCTGGTCTCTAGCAGTAATGAAATTGTTTCCTCAACTTTGAAGTTACCGATCTTCACTGGGAGCTTGTAATTAAAACTTTACTTATACATGTAGTGTTTTTACCTCTAAATCATCTGTTTGCATTTTGAAACACATGCTTATTCGCATGCTTGTAGATTTGATCCTATTTTACTTCCATGTCAATGTTATTTATCAAAAAGTATGCTTCAGATACCAGTTTCATGCCACTTGACTTATGCCTCTAGATTACATTTACCATCTCATTTCAGGTCAGAGAGTTGTCGGGGAGCCAGTAGTTTCAGGTTTAGTTCTTAATGATTCAGTACTTTGGGACCCTGACTTCCATTTTGCAGCTAGGTAAAATCATTTTCTCCTCTGTGGTTTATAGTTTCTTTTTCTCCCTTCATATGGCATAAAATGTGCGTGAACATTTTTACTAGTTCAGGTATGTGATGAGCCCACCAATCAGAGCAGTAGGTCATGGGACAGCTCTTCAAGGAGCTCTTGCAACGGGGCTTCTGCAGGTTTTCCCCTTGATCATTGTATAGATATAAAATGTGCTTTATTGTGTTATCACAAATTTGAATGCTACTTGGGATTCCATTGGCCATAGCCCATATCTGAATATTCCGCTTTCCCCGTCATATGATTCTATCCGTCAACTCATATGAGCAAGACATGAGTTATTGGTGTTGAACTGATCAGCATGGCTTCATATATGCAGCTGGTAGGAACTGATCACTGTACCTTCAACTCAACTCAGAAAGCCCTAGGAATTGGTGATTTCCGGAAAATACCGAATGGTGTTAATGGTAAGAAAAATTTCCTTTTTCCTTTCATATATCTATTGCTTTGTCTTTAGCTTCCTTTTACGCTATTTCTAAGTTCTTCAGGATAACCCGTTTCTGTATAGGTATGGAGGAAAGGATGCATTTGGTTTGGGATACTATGGTGGTAAGCTGGGGCATTATATATTGTTCTTAATATGAGATGATGCTCAAATGAATTGTGTGATATGCAACTATATTGTTTACTTACTTTCGATTTTTTTGTCAGGCATCTGGTCAAATATCTGTCACTGATTATGTCCGCATAACAAGCACTGAATGGTAAACTTGAGCCAAAACTTTTGTAGATCTTCTGATGTTTATTTCAATCTGAATCTCCACCCACCAGCCTAATGCTTATGCTCTCTTCTTTGGTTTAAATCCGCTGTACAAATTCAACTGTCTTATAACGGAAGCTTAACTTGAAATACCTGATCTTGTGTTTTAGTGCTCGTATTTTCAATGTCTATCCAAGGAAGGGAGCAATACTTGTTGGGTCTGATGCAGATATAATCATATTAAATCCAAATTCGAGCTTCGAGATTAGTTCAAAGTCACACCATTATAGGACAGATACCAATGTCTATGAGGGTTGGAGAGGCAAGGTAAGATTCGCAAATTATTGGGTTTTATGTATCCTATAATCCTTGCCAAAAGTATGTTGCAGAACTTTGTTGAATCCAGTGATTGTATTGTTTGATGTTCTAGTGAATTTACTTAATAAAAGTAAGAAAGTACTACATCAGACCTTCATTTTAACTTTTTCAAACCCAGTTTTGCACTCTTCATAATATGATTTACTGATATGTCCTTTATTTACAATAGTGAGAAACTATTATCTGTTTTCACATTAATACATGTTTGACTCTGAACCTGATCTAAACAGTTACCAGGATGCACTACATTGTGTGTGATATTAAGGAAAAAAATCGATATAGGTGCAATTGAATGTGACCCTTAAGAACTTGTGCCTTCAATAAGATATTCTCACTTCATGTGAAAGTTGTAATTGTCCAATTCCATAAAGAAAATTTCTATTGTCAGGAGAGGGAACACTATGTTTTCCAGCAGAGTAAAATTTTCTATAATTTAACCATCTGCTGAAGTTCTGTTTTTTGTTTTTTTTCAACAACATTTGCCTTGCCCTCAAGTCACCTAATTCCAACTGCCCCCTTCTTTTTTCAAACATTGCCACTGCTTTACGTTCCCAATTTGTTAAATCTATGCTTTCTTCTTTTTCCTTTTTATTCTTTATGCAGGGAAAGGTTGAAGTTACAATTGCAGGAGGAAGGATTGTTTGGGAAAATGATGAGCTGAAAGTTGTTCGTGGTGCTGGCAAGTACATTGAAATGCCACCTTTTAGTTATCTCTTTGACGGGATAGACAAGGCAGATGCAAAGTACCTCTCTTCCTTAAGAGCACCAGTAAAACGGTCAACAACTTGATTTAGCAAATTCAGTTTTCATTTTCAGTAAAAGAGATTTGTTTCCATTCACTGGTAAATACAGAACAACTATAAGGACATTTTTGCTCCTGTAGTGTTACTAGGCCATTGGGCACATAATGTTGTTTTATCAAATTGATGTTTATTCCATAAAGGATATTGTACAATGGTGTATAGCTGGATTACTGAATGGAGATTAAAATTTTAACTCATTATGCATAATATAAATAGATACCAAGAATCACATAGCTATTGATTGTAACACTGCTATATTTACTTGAGTTTTACTCCAAGCAAGAGGCTTGGATGCATACATATACCCTAATGAAAAATTGATAAAACTCTCTCATGCTTACATTTAAGAACACATGAGAGAAATAGTCAGTTCAAGACAGTTACAAAGGGGGCTGCGCGCGCACACTAAAAAACCGCGGCATCATACAGGAAGACAGCAACTAAGGTAGGTCAGGAACTTGCTCTTTTTCCTCTGCACAAAGGACATGTCCAAAATGATTAGAGGTATGGTTGCAGCTTGCATAACTACAATGTGTATGGAAGCTATTTTGGTATATAATGTTTGGATGTTCTGATCCTAGGGCGTCAAGTAAGGACGAATATGGATCAGAACAAACCCCAATATGCACTTCTATTCAGTTACTTGAGGAAATTCTGTTTTGAGAATCTTATAATGCATAGTATTGAAGATGTGTTTACCATGTAACATATATTTTTTTTGAGTTTAGGATGTCTTACCCTGGCAGCTTGCTCTCGCTCCCTGCAAAGAAGCTCCTGCTCAAAATCATAGCTACGATGAGTTAAATCACTTTTGTGATGCTTCCTGTTGGCGCGCGCTTGAGAGAACACCACAGAGTAATTGGTCTCACTCGGAGTCTTTTGATCCCACTCCCCAAATTGAGGTACAGACAACCAACCAGTTCTCTACAAATTTAGAAAATCATCTGATAAGTTATTAATAGCTAGTGAGTAGTTTCCTCGTACAAAGCTCATAGTAGGAATTCATGACTAATAAAACTTTGCAGTCCATGATTAAAAGTGTGAACATAATGAACATAAACAATTTGAGGGAGAGATTGCTATAAAGGGAACACTTTTACACATGAAGTAAGACTTCTAGGTGCAGTAATGATCACTTGTTATTTATGGTTGGTGTTGCTTTCCGTAATTTTTCGTTCTTCGTGGGCTCTAGGTATTCTATAGGGTCGGCTTATATGAATCTTTTGTATCCATTCTGCCCAATTTAGGTTATTTTGTTCCGCTACTAAATAAATTATATTTTAAGAAAAATAATGATTATCCAAAATTAGACATTCTAAATATCTCACACTTCTAGGTGTTCTTTTTTTAGCTGAATTTGCATTTACCTGAGAGGTCATGGGTCTTGCTGCATAACTTCTTATCATGTGATTTTTAGCCATACCTCATCTTCTTTTATCACTTTCTATTGTCATACCAACATGCGTATGGAGGTCTATGCCAGCTTTAGAGGCGAGCCTACATCATATTGTCTATAGAGGTCTAACTAGGACATGATGAAACTATCTTAGGTGACATTCTCTCATTTTATCCTCCATGTGTGTTAATTACATGTAGACATTCACATTTTCATGTTCATCTTGTGGATATATTGCACCATAGAGGCCAATAATCATGCAGTTACCAAACCAAATACAAGTCTCTATTATATGATTAAAGGAAAGTTTGTCTCCAGAGTCTCATAATTACTTAAAATGAAGATATGTCTGCTTATGTGAATGAAATTTCATGAGTTCAGAAACAATTTTCTTACCATAGGTGAAACATCCCGGTGTTTGCCAAGGTCTTGCTCATTTCCCACGCTGTGTTGTTTATGCTGCTGCTTTTTAGCACGAGCTTGGGAGAACACTGTGGGATAGTTAGGATTGTCCCCTGTCTTTTGATCCCGTGCTCCATATTGAGGCACTGCCACGGGACTATTTTTCTAAAATTTCAGAAAGAGAAAAAAATAGAACTATCAGTGACACACTGAACACTATGAGTTACCATCTCTCTGGAAGACTTGAAATGCTCTTTAAGTTTTGAATCATTAAATATATCATAAACTATGGTAAACGAAATTTATACGATTTGAAACAAGGTCACAAATGATGAGATGGGAAACATAGTTTAGCCTTTTCTATTAGTTTATATCCCCATGGTCAATGCACATTAACTAACACAAAACATGATGAACATAGTGCTATAAAACGAAGTTAACACAACTTGATGAATGTAGCATTAAAACCGGAATTAAATTCACATATGTGGTGAACTTTTGACGTATATTTTGTCAGTACATATGTATACTTTATAGCTACTGCACCAGAAAGTTTCTCATTTGCACCTTCTATTTTCCTTTTTATTACAAAGTTATAGGAAAAGAGGAAAGATTTAACTGGATCAGAATTGCTTAAAGACCTTGGATTAGAATTCGTGACACTACAATTTGAATCCTGATCTCTTCGCTGCACCTTTCTCACATGCATCCGGTTTTGGTGTAATATATATGTGTAGTACCTTTGTTCTCTTTCTTGGAATTTGTTCTTATCCTACGATGTATTGGTCAAAATTTCCCTTTGTCAACACAAATTCACACGCTAAATTACAAACTACACAGACTAGACTTATCTGGGATGATGTATAGGATAGTTCTTTCTTAGGGACAGGTGCAACTCCTAATCTCAAATCACCAGTTGCATAATTGACATAGTAAAATGGACAAATACATGGTAAATGGTTTGCAGTAAAGAATTCCATGACCTTTCTACTTTTCTCTTCTTTGCCAGCTAACAAACACTTCTAGCCCGATTGGTAAAATGGATTTACAAAGTCTCAATGGTCGGGACTCCTGACCTAACCTATGATTCTCATGGAACTAACTAAAAGAAATGGTTAAGAGACTTGACATCTCGTGGTGCCAAGCAGAACCATTACTATCACTTGCTGATTTTCCTACTTGTTTCCTAGGAAGCACGTCTTCCCTGCTAGAAACTGCCCTCAACTTGTACGGATGAAGCAGCTCGACATCCAACTAGTTGGTTGGGCATTCGCGTCATTTTGGGGGTAAGTAGCAACACCGTTCAACCCCCTTGGGTGGGTGAAGGAAAAAACCTTCTTTTGCTCGCCTTAGTATAAGCCATACTACTCATGGTCTAAAATTGTTGATTTACATATGCAAAATAGAGGCTAGTAATCAAGTTTGTTTTGCCATGCCATGGACAAGTTTCTATTGTATGACTTGTTGAAGACATAACTAAGTAAATAAAAATGTTTCCTCTCTAATAGCTTAACTTTTAGATGAGGTGATCATCACACAATTAAATATAACTAAAAGGAAGTTTGTCTTGAGACTCAAGAAGCAAGTATTTCTTACCTTTGATGAAACCTCGGTGTGCTTGTTAAGCTCCTGTTCATTTCCCAAGTTGCGGCGTGCTATATCATGTTTATGCCGCTTCTTGTCGGCACGAGCTTGGGGGGGAACTTTCGCACAATCAGGACTACCCCCACTCTTTTGATCCCACACTCCAAATTGAGGCACAGACATAGGACGTTTCTACAAATTTAACAATAACACTACGATCAGTTATCCGTTCACTAGAAGACATGAAATGTTAAAGGAACTCCTGGCAATATTGTTAGAGGAATGTTTTGATAGTTATATAATGCATTAGATGAAAATGCATCTGCATGTGTAAATGAATTATTCAAGTATTAGAAACAAAGTAGTATTTCTTACCATGGATGAAACCTCTTGATGTTTGCCAAGTTCTTTCTCATTTCCAAGGCTTCGGCGTGTTAGATCATGTCTATGTGGCTTCTTGTTGGCTTGAGCTCTCGGGGACACCTTGGAATAATCAGGATTTCTCTCTGTCATTTGATTCCGTGCTCCAAATTGAGGCACTGGCGTTGAACTATCTTTCTACAGATCCAGAAAAACTATTAGTTAAACGATGACATTGTAAGTTACCTCCTCTCTGCAATACATATGAAAGGTTATCTGTGAATTAATTATTAAATATATTGTATGCTAGAATAACTTGCATAAGGAGATCGATAAATGATCTTGATAAGGTGATGGTTCCTCTTAATTTAACGCCAATCCTCACCTCATGAGTTAAATTTTTGGAGTCAAATTAGGACTAATGTCCGCATTTCTTAACAAAATAAGGAGCAGTATTCATATTGTTGCACTACCAAAGATTTTTATGATTGTAGAAAAAAATATTTCTTACTCTGGGTGAAACTTCTTGGAGCTTGGTAAGAATCTCTTGGTCATTTCCCAGGTTGTGCTGTGCTAGATTATGTCTATTCTGCTTCTTGTTTGCCCGAGCTTGGGAAAATACCATCGAAAAATTAAGATTGTCCCCAGTTTTATGATCCCAAGCTCCAAACTGAGGCACAGACGGCGATCCATTTTTCTGTATATATCGAAAGATAAAACTGTTTTAAGTAGTTAAACAATGATAATACAGTGTTACATCTATGATATGAGATGTTATATAAGCATCGAATAGTTAAGCATATTGTAAACTACATTGACTTGTCCAAGGAGAAAGATTATGAGTAATTTGGGGAATGTTCACACTAGTGAACTCTCTACAGGATACTGTGTATGCAAATAAGTTCCCCTTTCTAGATACAATTTTGGGAAAACCAAATACATAAAGTAGGATAATTAACTTGGAGATCATAGGTATTGGGTCGAGTGCTGTGAATGGAGTTGCCTTTGATATTGAGTATTTTACCCCTCAACGGGAGTCGGCCCCCAAAATGAATATTAGATACCGAGTGTGAACCAAAGAAAAGCTTAAACTTTACAACAACTGGCACTCTTAGTGCCCCGACACCCCCACAACATGTACACCATCAAGATAGAAACATAAGAGGTTGATCTTAGAGGGATGGATCCTTATCACACGCAAACAGAAACATGACCAGTACGTCCACAAACAACTCACGTGGCATAATTATCTCAATATGCATGGACCCGCATTAACAACGTACGTGCAAAGAAAACTTGGGAGAAATAATAGCTCTCCATCCTATGATATTGTTATGATTTCTCAGATATTACTTTTAAACTAAAATATAGTACGACTTACAATTGAGTGAATAAAGAGATGAAAGTAATTCTTGTAATTTATACAGACATTATTGCACAAATAATAAGACAATA